ATGCTAGCCAACATGGAACAAGAGAACGACAGCAGGTTAAACTACTCGTCTCTATTGTCCCGTAAATGTTGTGAATGATGTGTATCGGGGGTGGTGATGTTTCCCACTCGCTGGAACAAGAGAGGCGTTACCAGCTTACACGTCGGCGTGCGGAATTTCTCCCTCCGGGTTTCTCCCCCTTACGTAGCACCACCCGAACCGGGACTACGAAGTTTAGGCCCCCGGCTGGTCTCATTTCATGTGCGGTAATGTAGTACGTCTCGTGCGTAAGGCGAGAGTAAAGGACAAGAGTGAGGCAGGAAAGATCGCGCTGTCCGTGGCCCGTTTGATACAACACTACTCCAGCTCCGTCTGGTTTTCATTGGAGAAACATGCTATTTAGCTGAAATCGAATATTCCACCACCGTCGAGACTCGGAACCCTGGGGCCCACAGGTGAGAGTCGCTGCAGAGTCAAATTATCTTATGCCATTATCTAACTCAACCTGTCGGAAGGCGGAAGTGATTTTGACTCCCAAAAACCGGAGTTTCGCCATTCACACTGACGAGACTAGCTCCAAATATTCCGCCGCGCCACGCCACCTGCAGGTAGCGTCGGAAGGCGGAAGTTAATTCTGTTGCAAAGAAAAGGCCCAAGAGAGAAGAGGTTATAAAATATATTTCATACTTATATTTTATGTAACTTTCTTCGCTTCTTTTTGTTGGTAATCAATTAATTAATTATTCACAAAACTCTTATTTATTCTTAATCACATTGTAATACATATTACACAACTTCTTGTATTGTTTTATCCTTTCTTCTCATTTCAACAACTCCGTCGGTAACGTATTTTACATGTCACCATGAAAACGTGTATGAAGTAGAGATACTCTACGCTACCAAAATATTGCGGTGGAATGTTTTGAGCCCGTTCTCGTTTCCAGTTATCTTCTCTCGGCATGCCTCAGCAGTCAGAATTCAATATCACTCACAACGCACATCATCTCTATATCATTAGATCCAGATTACGCGAAGATCTCCTTCACCTACTATAAATAAATAAACATTGGTATGACATGTATCCCACAAACCTCCCGAAAGACGAAAGTGGATTGGGAAGAAAATTAATTTAAAGAACATGAAGTACACGGCTTGATTACACGACTTGGTTACAAGACTTGATTATTGAACAATTAAGTAACAAATATTATATATACACCGATTAACCAACCACATAATTGGGAACCGGAATGTGACCCATTTTGAACTTCAAGTGACTACACAAACTAGTTTTAGTGACTAATGTGCACTACTATTTCTTTGGGGTGAGCCCAACCACATCTCACACGTGCAAACCCTTAAAATGGAAAATACTCATAGTTTGTAACCTAAAAATAGCCAACTGTCGTTAATATTGGTTTGTAAATTACACTAGAAAGTCAGTAGCCAACAATGCAAATCTAATACTCTTGAATTATAAAAACCCGTTCGTATAGTTGAATGTTATAATTGTTTCGACATTCGTTTTGACGTACCATGTTTGTACTAATTGACATATATTTACATTTGAAATTATATGAAAAATGATTCCTACTCTCAAAAGGTGTCAAAACGTGCTACTCAACTAAAAGACCAGCTACATACTTAGGTCGAATTCATTCACTGTCTGGGGAAAAATTCTAGGGGACAGTTGCTCAGATCGAGAGTTTTCCGAGGTTTCTACGATCAATGTCGGAGCAGTACGCTAACAAACGGGCCACTAACAGCGCAAACTATGCTTACACACACTTACACTTACATGCACTACTCTGTCACACATGCCGGGAGACCTGTTGGAGCATAGAGTTTTATATATATGTATATATATATATATATATATATATATATATATATATATATATATATATGGTTGGGAAAACTCCGCTAGCCGAAGGGTCGGCACCGGAACTCGCCATACAGCGGAGGACGAACAACATTACCTACCGAAGGCAAAGCATGCACTACACTTACGAGACTAATGACCTTAGTAGTTGACGTGCTCGGAACCACTAATCGATCATTGAAATGTTGAGGCATCCTTGGGAAACCAACGATTCATTAATATATACATGATTTACCTCCTTTTAAACTGTATCGTACATTTCGGGTTTATTTCATTTTGAATTTTTTTAAATTACGTATGGAATAATTGAAAAAATATGCAATCCCACATACATTGAGATGAACCTGAAACAGAAAGCGTGCCGTCCTGACAAGGCAGCACCCGAGCGATCAATTCCTATGAGTGATTTCAGGAAAATTGTTTGTTTTCTCATGAGTTTACCTCTGACATATATTTTAACAATAAGGATTTCTGTGCCAGCCATCACATATATTTTTGCAGTCCCGTGAAGTTCAAAGGCAATTTAATTCAATGAACTTTTTGCACGCTGTACAAAAATTGTTTACCATTTTGTCTCCTAGTTTTTCTAATGTTTCATTTCTACTCATTTGCTTGAATCGTTAGTTCAGAAATCATAATCATGTTCGTTTTCATTTCGCAATATATAACTTCTTTATTAATATTGGGGTTGAAAATGTATAGTCACTTAAATGACGAGGAAAATAGTGTGGAAAAAAGTTATTTATGCATCAAGAGCGGTATATAGGGGCTAATGATTGACCGGCGACAAAAGACCTTTCATAACAACTACTTAAGCCTCATGGTACACATATTATTATCTTAAAACTCATTTTAAAGATTCAGATTTACTCTTTGACTCGGTTTGTCTATGTATAATTCTCCCCCACAATTCCCTTTCATAAATCCCTCCATAAGAGAACTTGTAGCATCATTCAACTATTTTCATATTTCCCTCGTAAACACGATCCCCTTGATCGAGGGAAGTTATGCAGTGTAAATAGAGTTCTGTAACGAAGCGAATAAAAATCAATAAAGTGTCTGTAAAAAATAGGGATATTTGTGTATATAATGTGCTTGTATGCTATCGCTCAGCTTTCGCACTCCTGTCTTTAGCATTCCGCCACACACACGTGATGGTTGGGTTGCATCTGCTAATCTTGCCAGGCGCTTGTCTTACGATGACTCCACGGCGTGGTTTGGCGACTAATATACCCAGATTGGATTAACCCGAGGTTATTACTCTAATGATCAATGGCTAAATAAGTTATATTGAATAACAGGGTGTTATTTATTTGATTGTTTAAAACTTGAAATCGAAATAAAGATCATGCAACAAATTGCATTACATGGTTTAATTAATAATGAACGTTAATCATTATTGAATAATTCATATTTTTCTCTATTTTTTAATACACCTCGTTGAACATTTTATTGTGTTTGGCGCGGAAATCGAATATTAGATGAAAGTTATTTCCTTCATTATTAGATCGTGCCTGTAGCAATAATAGGAATGAGTATTCCTTCGTTGTTTACAATAATTGAAGTGCTCAGTGGAATTAGATTCTCACCCACATAATTTGGAAATTGAGTTATTTCCTGTTATTTAAATCCAGTTTGAACTTTAATGTAAGGGTAATTGTGTTTAAAAGTGTACTGGGATATATTATTATGAAAGTTCTAGTAAAACTGTCAATATCTCAGAACCAGGTCAATGAAGGATATTCTACTGAATCCTTCAATCAGTGTATCTTTTCAGTATTCAGAATGTCTTTATATTTTCTGTTTCAATATATGATACAAAGAAACATGAAAATATTGCTCTATAATAAAAATTCATATTTGAAATGTTAACACTGTTAATATCCCTATCTCCGAACTTTTAAAAATATTGTTTCAATTATTATTATCCTCGTGTTTGTGACCTTCATTTCTCAATTAATATTTTAATAATTTGGTGCTTGACTATTTTAATGTTATATTAAATTAAACAATTAATTACTGTTTAATATAAAATTATTTTTCTTTGCATTCTGAAATAACGTACGTAGTAACATGTAGAAATAATATTTATAGAATAAATCAAAACAGAAATTTGTTGACTAGGAAATTATTTTAGTTGCAAATAATCCTGATGTGCTAACATTGTATTTATTTACGCTTTCAATGATACGTAATCACTTAGAGTAAACATGTTTACAATATTGTCAATTTGGAATATTATTTAGAAGCTCCTCAGGGTGTAGCCCTCTACTTATACGTTTCGGAATTCAAATATTGCAATTACCTGAGAGATTTACAAAGTTTATTTTATTAGAGAGATCACAAACTTTATTTCATAATTGACTCATCTCATAATTTTTATTAGCCTTTATTCGAAAGCATTTCAATCAAATTAATCGTAAAATATTTCTCAAAAATTAATTTAATTACCTCGTTACAATTACGATTTCCTCCCGCCAGTTAGATGTGTATAATTTGAGGTCATAATTTAAGGTTTGAATTATGAGGCATGAAATAATCTATATTTCTTATTTCCAATGCGCGCGTAAAGTGAAAGAGAAATATGCAGAATTCGGTCTTGTGAGAGGCGTTCAGCGTTTTGTTAGATAGCCTGAAACGCGAGAAAACACGAAAAAATCTGTTTTGATTTTAACTGAAAGGTACAAATATTGCATTGTGTTATTCTGAAACTGATGTACCTGTCGAATTGCCAAACTCAATGCCTCACTGCTTGCGAAACAGCTGATGTCATGCTTCAGCAAAGATTCATGGATCCTGACAATCGCCATTACACCTTTGCTATTCATGTGTTGTGTTAAGGATAAGCAACTTTTTAGATATTTGGGTGTAAATAGGCGTTGTACTCTATTTGTACTACACTAAGTAATAGAGGTATTCGGGTAGACTGTTTTTATATAAATATTTAATTTATTACCATGGAATAGACAGTATTTTGTTGGTTATTGAACAGGACACGTGCATCGTTTTGAAAAACAATTTTGCTTGGTTTTGTCGAACAGTTTTTTTTCTGTTGCAGGCCTCTAATAAAACGAATTTGTTCTTTGTGCAGAAATGCCAGTTGCGCTCTCTCAACCTCATTTAATGGATGCGCAGCCAGCACTACAAAATAAACTCACTGGGCTGAATCCAAACCGTGATGAACACTTATCCTACTTCAGATTACAACCGGTAAGTCTCTTCATCATACGCTTCTTTGTCCCATATCTTAGAATTAATTTATTGCACCAAGAGTTTTCAGAATATTTAACGAAGTGCCTGCGTTTGAGTAATAAAGAAAAACAGTTTAACAACAATGGGGGAAATTTACCTGAAGAATTGTTGACTCCAAAATGTGGAAATAATCATTGCCGATCAGAAATTTAATAGTAAAAGTGTGTTAACTGTCGCCTCTTCTTACACAACTGATCATGGTGGCTGAGCTATCTTCAAAGACCGGCTATCGCTAGTAGAAATGTATGTTGCCAACGGTAGCAAAACTAGCAACAATAACAATAACAACAACAACAATAATAATAATAATAATAATAATAATAATAATAATAATAATAATAATAATAATAATAATATAAAGTCATTGTTGACTGGTTATTACATGTCGCGTAGTTCTTGAGTCTAGTACAAATAGTTAGTTACAAATATGACATTCCTTACATATTAGTCAAAGATACATTCTTAATCATAATAAGAATGTATAGTTTGCTTAGATTATAATCTTACGGAATGCATTTTCAAATGTTAACATTAGTTATCTATGATTGTATACGGACTCCTTATCTACGTAAACATTATATTTATTTTTTATCCCTGAAGAAGGTCGAAATAATGGCAATGTGAAGTGTTTATTATATTGAACTAAACTGAAGAACAACAAGACAAATATTAATATTATTTATTTGGCTACAATTGGCTTATTGCGAGGTGGTAACCGTAAGCCCATAGATTTATAAGACAAGAAACATTGAAATATTACACAATAAAAGAAATTACAAGTACCACTACTACTACAACAAAAGATACAATAAAACAACAACCTGCACAAATTTCACAGTTGTAATAATGTTAATAATCATATAATCATATACACGTATTTACTTTATATATATATATATATATATATATATATATATATATATATATATATATATATATATATATATATATATATATAAACACACTTGTATTTATACTCACTACTCAAACACTGACTACTCGTATATGAATGCAAATATACACATATGTGCATACACATATATTCATATGCTTACACATACAATGCTTATAGCCTCTACTTATACACAGAAGGAATCTCTCCATATCATTAATCAAAGTCAGATACACCCATGTACATAGAATTACCCATTTTCCAAAGTCTATATACATGTACGCGCGCACATATCCATACACATACCCACAAACGTATGTCTATTGCTTGAGTGCGGTTTGCACGCGTGGGAAAAGCGAAGTGTTTGACTGAAAGGGCCTTTTGTGTGCGCGCGACAGGAGACGGGAATCCCACTGAACATCCGCTGCCGCCTCCAGATCAACCTGATGATGGGCCACACGCGCCTGTCCATCACGCAGCCCTTCGACCACATGGCGCTGCCCATCATGTGGGTGGACATGGTGAGTAGGGCAGGTCACAGTACAGCGCAGCGCAGCACAGCACAGCACAACTCCCATTCCCTTTTCTTCCCTTTCCAACCGGATTGGGTAGCGCAGAGCGTTAACTGATGTTACTGCAGAGCCTCTGACCGAGGGATCCAAGGGTTTCATTTCGCAGGGTGGCAGGTTTTTCAACTCGAACTACATAGCTAGGTCGAATTTAGCCGCTGTCATTCTACAACTACAAATTTGACGATAGATATTACCTTCAAATAAAATGTATTCCCCATAATTGTTTCTTTCATTAACATCATGTACATTTTTTTAGAATTTTAGTACTTTTCGCATAATATCGCGTGCAATATGTGCAATTTTAAAAAATTAAAAAAACAAGCTTTTCACAAGAACGTCTCGAAGTTTTTTCTTTAAAATTTTGGTGAAGATAGTGCTAATCATACTCTGTAAAATGCCATTAATTCCGTTCTGCTCATTCTTTTACTTTTCCAAAAATTAGAAAAATGTAATAGATTTTACTACCCTCTCACATCTTTAAGATTTACATTAGCGGCAATTTGTTCACAGTATTGCTTTTTCGAGTACATGTGATCTAAATGATGCCTTATAATGTTTCTTCAATTTTTTTGTTAAAACAATTCGTACAAATAGTGCTCATTGCGCTGACTGAGATGAGATAAAAATGTTGCTGTATTCTTTTGTGGTTTGTTTTCAAACATTACACAAATTTTCTTTTAAAATATCTCTCACGCCGTTCATATGCACCTTTCCAGCAATTTGTATTCGTTACTGCTTTTGTGAGCCTAAATGCTTGAAATGTCTTGCAATAAAGTTTTTCGAAAATTCAAAAGATAACTGCTGAAAGATCTTCAAATTTAGCATTTACACTAGAGCTTAAACGATATTTTCTTAAAAACGAGTTTTTGCACGAAAATTTCCTTAAAGGAACATGTTTTACTCTTCTATATGATTCCTATAAAAATATTTCGGTTCTTTCATTAGGAAACCGAAAAATTGAAAGACTCCAAAAACGTACTTTGGGTGGCGATAGGTGGAATTGGGAAGAATATGCGGAAGTCCGTAAAGCTAACTCAGACCAAAGAAATTAGATAACAAACTTGTACGAGAACGTCTGAGTCATTCTGAGGCACCACTAGTATGTAGATTCCATGGAGCCCCGGCGCACAACATATGCGCCACATATCGGCGTTTCAAACAAGTACTGAATCAAGAGTTCCCCTTTCTGCCGAGAGAAGGCGCACGTGGTGCGAGTTCACGTGTGGGAAGTGCCGTGAAGGATATTTCACAAGCTAACACTTTTTTCATTGTGTTCCGAAATGGCATTTTCACATTATTATAAGTAAATTCTTGGAAGCATCAGTTACTCCAACCGGCAATTGAATTTGTGCTTCCTGATTTAAACGCAGTGCATTTTACTACTACACTACCGTGTGGTCCCCTTACGATCTCTAAACGACGTAGGCAGTAGACATAGGAAGTAACAAAATCATATTTTCAGTGTTCAATTACATCCATTTCAACTACTTAGTTGTAAAATGTTTTTTTAAACGTTTCGTGTAAGTTTGATTAAGTTTTTTAATAGACATTGAATTTAGATATATTAAGATTTTTATTTTATTTTTCTATTTCAAAGACAATGAAATGGCATAGAAATATGTAACTCGCAATGTTTATCTTAATAATCATTTTCTGAATTCGTCAATGAAATGTCGACGAATAATTGCTTCCATTAAATGTTTAATCATTAGTTAGTTACTAATGATTTTAGATAATATCTTAAAATATATGTTCATTTGTACTTTGGGCGCTACGCAAACGATCTAACTTACAAGATTCTCGCCATTATATTACCTTTCTCCGCATATCCACAAGAGGAAATCAATAGCCACTGATTGATGCGCTAAGACATACATAGGCATAGTTTCGAGTGCAAACTAACACAGCATACAGTTTCGAGTGCATACAACTCATTCTTCGTTGTGTATTTGGGAAAGTCTTCTAAGTGGAGACTTGTAAGTGAAGAAGAGGAGATCGATATAAAAAACGAAAATAAATAAATTTGAATTTGAACGTTGAGCAATGCCAAGAGGGGTAAAAAGAGTAGTTGGCAAAGATGGTGTTTTATGGTGAATTAATGAAATGTTAATTGTTAGGAATGCTGGAGCTATTAATTACTTTTTTATTTATGTGATAAATTGTCATTTGTTTTAGTTATTTGACTTTCTGTCTCAGTATTTCTCCTCCCTTAACCTCAACCTCATGTCGTTTAGTATGGCAGAAAATATAGCCGAAGGTTGTGGAAGTGTATAGTTTCCGTAAATGGCAAAACGAGGATTCCTAACATCCACGTAACCCTAAGCCGGTACATACATGCAGTTCTAAAGCACAATGGGGAATAAAAATTGCTTCAGTATATTATTTATTTCAATAATTGTTATAGTACATGGTCTCAATTACAGTTTGAAAATAGGAATGAGAATAGGAAAATGTGAAATAATATTCATTTTATTACATCATTTCAGTAATCAATTGCGCATGTAGGGAAAATAAAAAAGTAAATCTTGAAGTTTTTGAGACAAAAAAATTTATATTTATAAATAAAATATGTAATAACTTCATTTCTCGAATTTTACAAACGGGCTTTGGCAGTTCAGTGCATCAACAGATGTCTCTCACCGGTGCTCTCACCGCAGGAGCTCTCACCGGTGGGGTGTAGAATTTGAGTTACAACAGTGGCAAGATTTTGCACACTAGGTTGTCAGCTAGATCGAATTCAGTCGCTTCCTGGAGGATAATTATATCGGCTTCTTTGATCGGTAGTTTTCCGTGGTTTCTCCGATGTATACCAGGCGAATGCTGGAACAGTTCCCGAACAAATGAGCCACGGACCGAGCTCGATCTCTCGTTCCCTACCTTGTATTCTCACTCCTTACTTTCATACACTTACACTTGCACTCACTACACCACCACACATGCTGGGTGACCGTTCGGGAGCTAAGAGCTTGCTCCGGCTGGGGCGGTGCCCCTCTGATGGGAGATACCTGGTCGTGGAAACGCCCGTAAACCTGCATATAGGTCGGTGCCGAATCTCATATACAACGGGGGAAGATCACCGCCTCTTCCCATTCTTACAAGACGTGTGAATTTTACTCCATTCGTACACAAAATTTTTAAAAAAAATGGAGGCATTTTTGAGTAAATTTTGAAAATGTCATAAAGGTTTAATTTAAAGTACCCCCAAAATGTAAAGAATGTGTTTCAAAATTGTCACGTCTGGAGGCACTAAATAATCAAGCATTAAATTTTACAAGAACACCTTTTAACAATTTTGTAAATTTAATTATACTACCTCAATAAGGGATCAAGGAAAAATGTTTGTGTTTGCATCCTATGCCTAGCCCAACACGCAGCCGACGCCCTGGTGGTCGCGTGGCGAAGCGGGGCGTGTGCGTGCGCGCGCGTGAATCGTGTTCGAAGTGGGCGCGTGCTCGCGTGCGCCTCTGCTCCTCCGAGACCTCTGTCACCCCCTCCCCCTCCCCGTCACCCCTCCCCGTCCGCGCCTGCGGCCTCCGAGTTGCGCCGTCAGTGTCACAGCGAACGCAGCGCGCGCTCTCGCAGAAGGTACTAATCGCGCATCGTTTTCTTCAGCTCCGGAATTCACACCCCCTTTAACCGCGTTCATTAGAATGCCTTTTTTGATTAAATAACCTTACAGGGTTAGCAAATCCTTGGAGTTATATCCTTAATCCTTGGGGTCCTTGAAGTTATGCCCAATAATATATTCTTGGAAATACTTTGAGTGAATGAAGTATAACCAAATATCGTGAAAACGCGGTCCGTCGTTATTACCGAAGTCATTAGAGAGAAAATCAAGTATATTAACTGTAATTAACCGATATTAACCGTTATTAACGTAAATGACATCAGTATTATTCGAATATTCCACTCTAACGCTTATAATATCGTTTTGTGTCTTTGAGATTTTAGCTATTTTTTATGCTTTTTACTTTCTCATGTACGTCTATATACGTAGAAAAATAAGGGGCGCCGCGAAAAGGAGGGAACAAAGAGGGAAGAATGAAAAGGCTATATAAAGGTCGCTAAAATATGATTTAGAAGTCACATTTTTTAAATTACGAAAGTTAGCAACAAAAATGCAAATATTTGAAGTTTGGTGAGGCAAAGATTAAAATAAATGAAATTCACGCCGTTTATCCCCGTATAAATACACTAACACAATCTAATAATTCATGGAGGAACTTCAACTGAATGAAGGTAAGAAAATAACGGTCTAAGCAATAGGCATTGGAGATAGCCCAATATTTTGTTATGAAGAAATGTATAAAAAGATCAACAAGTTGATTCACTTTAAGTGCATCCTTCTAGACCTGATGAGAAGATTATCAATTAGCTGCGGTTCTCATTGTAAATAAACTGTCAATAAACGAAGAGATGCTCAGTAAAATGAAATTTATTTGCTTACTTAATTGATGAGTTGGCACTGGTGTGTTTATTTAAAATTTGAAATGACTCACTCTATAACAGGCACGTGGAAGTCACAGACAAGCTTGTATTGAGTTCGCGGGCACGGGCACAAACTGACACAATATTTTAAATTAAAGGTTTTACAAATTTCTCCGGTTATGCAGTACATGATAGTCTTGAGATATACCTGGCACATGATAGTCTTGAGAAGAAGTGAATTTAACCGTTGTTGCCCAAAATTTATAGTTATAAATTCCCATTTCCTCTACTGAAGTAAGTAAATTAACCTTAAAAGTGAAATACACCACTCATTTTTGAACGTATCAATTGTGAGTAAAATTAAACATTTTGAAGCGATTATTTTTGAGTGCAGTCATTGCATTACCGTCCTACGTTTAAGTTACGAACAAAGATTCCTCTGAGTAAAAGAAGCTGCCTTCCCACAAGATCGAAATAATAAATATAATAGGAGGTTTAATTAGAGGCCGTAGACAGCATAATTTAATTCATTGCACATTTTTACTACGCACAACAAATTATAGAATCATTAATAAAACATAACACAAAATGAAAACAGGCAAACAATTTGCTTCCCCTAAATTATATCTGTCTCTTGGCAAAAATTATTATAGACAGAATTTAAAAAAAAATAAACACTGAGTAAAGTAACAAGTTTTTTAATTTATTTTTGTTCACTGATCAGCCGTATGGCTGTACTCCTTATGGCTTCAGAGTTACAAACCAAAAAAATATAGAACATTTATTTGGCAACAGCACATGTTCAACTAACTCAATTGAGCTCCTGGAGAGTTTGTATTTGTTAAGATATGTTTTATCGTATGGTTGACTTTGGTGGAGTGAGGTTACAGGGAATTTTTAGTGGATATTTTAAAAAAATAATAATTTAATTTTTTTATTTTCGGGAAGCATGCTGCCTTTTCAAGTGAGATGGTGGTTAAATGAAAGGCAATGCTGTGAAAAGAGTTCCTAGAAAGTGTAAGAAAAAAAGTATTAAGTAAATACGTGTAACGTTATCTGTTCTGTGCTTAGCAACGTGCCGCATTTGTTACAAAACCCACGGTCTAAAAATGCAACTAGAACTCTTTGATAGGTTGAGTAGATTGGATTGAATAGTTTCTAAGCTCCATGAGTTGTGGATTGATGATTGTTTCTTAAAGTTTCCGTGAAGTGAGGTGGAATATATAAGTTAATTTTAGACAATGTATGAAATACACGACGACGACATTGACTCAATAATTTAGCTATTTGTTAAGAAAAAAATTCTACTCGTATTTCAGCAATGAAAGGACCAATTAACGTTCTAGACCTACGAAGGTTACCTTTCAGAAGATTGAGATGATACTAAAATGTATAAACGCAAACCAAATCCCGTCTTTCCGACAAGCATGTTTTCGTATGAAGGAACCATTCGTCGTGATGTTTCGAACGCTCTTTGTTTGCCTTCCCACTACGGCTTGCGCATGTACATACTTTTCTGGACTTGAAGGGAAAGAGAGCCCAGTCAGGGAAACTTGCCTGTACCCGCAAGAGCGTAAGACTTCCAAGACGAGCAAGTAGGTCGAGCGGGCGCATTTTGATTGCCGGGCTAGTGTTCCGAGTACCTTTTACCTTATTAGCACTTTCTAGTCTTTTTTCAGGAACCACATCTTCCGTGGTTGTATCAATCTCCTCCCACCGGCTGAGACAGGCTAATCACTGGTGCTGCCACCAAGGCCCTTACAATGCCCCCCCCCCCATAACACAGAAACCGGTGCGGCCTCTGGCCCGTATTTTCAGTGTTCGTACTACTTGTACCCCATAGCCCGAGTAGGGATGACAAAAATTGATGTTTTTAGAACGTCGATATTTTCCACTAGAAACATCTACATATTAACATCGATGTTTTGTTTTCGACATTTATTCAAATCAACATGTTTTTCCAGAAACATCCAAGTTTTCAAAAAAATGTTTTTATTTCATTTTTTGATGATTTTGTACGTGATAATATCGCTAAACTTTTTTTGAACACAGTGTCTCTGTAATATTGATTAGGAAATTAAGATAAAATAGTGTTTAAGGCAGAATATAGTACTTTATGGAATAATATACTTGAAGCTAATATTTACGGATAATGTATATTAGACATAGGACAGTTCACTTAGATAATTTATTAATGAAAGTGAATAAATGGAACAATATCTAAATATGATGTCATACGATGCCCTTTTTTATTTCCTTCTTTACATTGGATAAACATTATTAACAATCAACTTATATGTGACCAAAATAATTCGGTATTATAATATTTCGGTATTTCATTTAAGTACCCCAATTAAAAGTGAAACAGGATGGAAGTACCATCATTTTCATCATATATAAAACATCAATAATTTTGTGGATGGTTTCCTCAACATCGGAAAGCTTTTGGTAGTATATCACAATATCGATGTACAGATGTTTTGATAACATTTGCCATCATTAGCCCGAAAGCCTCTATCTGCCTGTCCCAGCCGGTAATTCCCCGGAGGAGGCACCGCACCTTGTACTCCGTGTCCCCGTGTCCCCGCCTGGTACTCCGGTCAAACGGGTCCCTTCTCGAACTACAACTTGTCTACAAGACCGGCATCACGTTGAGCGTGATAGCGGGCGCGTGGCTACGATTGAGAGGCGGCCGAGCGGCGGGCCGCCGCGGCTATAGATAGCGCGGCGACGCCAGTAAACACGCTCACGCGCCCGCCAAAGGAGCCTCGAAATAACGAAAGCAAATAAACACGCGCCGACAATGCCGCGCCCCCGCCCACCCTCTCCGCCCCCGCCGCAAGGTGCGCGCAGCACCCGCCCGGGGTAAATTATCGCCTCCCCCCCCCTCGTATCCGCCGGTCGAGATACAGTCGGCGATAGCTCTCCGCCTCACCTAGTCATGGCAAATTTTACCTATAAATCGATACATCGATAGTTCGATACATCACTAAAAAGTTGTCGATGCAGATGAAAACATCGACAAAAAACATTAATGCTTTAAATGTAATCAAACATGAAATGATATTCTCTCACCGTATTTTCGTTTTAATTGGAGTTCTTAAATGAGTTATATTTTATCGTTTGATCGTGTATAAATAATATGTTAAAAATAATGTTTATAGAGTTTAAAGAAGAAAATAAAAAAATAAAGAACGTCGATAAGAAATCTCTTTCTCCCTCTCCCTCTGCCCCGTTAAATACATCAATAAAATGTAATAGACATCCGAATTAAATCCTCTAACCCGGCAACACCGGAGAAACGCTGAGAATAGTAAACGGTTTCGTGCCATCTGCCCATCGACAACAGAGATGTCAGTGGCTATTGGTTTTGAGAAATTCACAAAAAAATAAATACTGGAAATTTTATTAATATGATAATTTATTTAGTTATTTCTTCTTTGGAAACATCGATGTTCCTTGAAAAATGTATTGATGTGAATAAAACATCTAACACAAAAGATCCATGTTAATATATCGATGTTTCTGGTCGCAAACATCGCAAAAACTTTTGCCGTCCGTTGCCTGTCCGAGGCCGAGGGCGCTCGGAAGGAACGCGGTGAGCGCGCGCGGATTTGCGGGGCCGACAGGTAGAGGGCGTTGGGGCGCGTGCGCCTCTCGGAGCAGCAAAGCCTCGCTCGAAGCTTAATCCCCCTCTCGACAGCGAGACGTTTCTGAAATCGAGACATTCACTTTTCTCTGGCAGTGCTGTCAATCTTGGAAAACGCTTGTTTTAATTCCGTTTCTGGGTGAAATTCTGGGGGTATTATTGTCACTAACTTCGATTGACCGGTAATATCAAATTGTTGTTTAAACATTCATACAAATATTCCCTGATATGATGTTCATCAAATTACTCTCCTGGTTCCACCATCCCCACCCGATTCTCCTCTTCCGCTTTTCCTCTTCCGATTCTCTTCTCTCGATTCTCCTCTTTCGAATATCTCTCTCTCGATTCTCCATTATCTCTCTCGATGCTTCTCTATCTCTTTCGATTCTCCTCTATCTCTCTCGATTCTCGTCTGTCTCTCTCGATTCTCCTTTCTCTCTCGATTCTTCTTTCTCTCTTTCTCTCTCTCGATTCTCCTTTCTCTCTTTCTCTCTCTCGATTCTCCTTTCTCTCTCTCGATTCTCCTCTCTCTCTCTCTCTCTCTCTCTCTCTCTCTCTCTCTCTCTCTTCTCCTCTCCCGAAACTTCTGTCGGGTTAGTCCTCTCCCGTTACTCCTCTCCCAATATTCCTCTCCCGATCTTCCTTACCCGATTCTCCTCTCCCGTCAATTCTGTTCTGATCCTCCTTTTCCAATACTCATAATCCTACTCTCCTCCCCCAATTCTTCGCACCAGTTCGGCGATACAACCGCTAGAGCAGCTGAGCGTCACGTGTTGATGTGATGTCGTGTGCGCAGACGATGGACCTGCCGGACAACTACAAGAGGCTGGTGCACCTGGCGGTGATCGTGGGGCCGGCGGCGCAGACGGTGCTGCTGGTGCTGAGTGCGCTGGCGGGCGCCGCCATGGTGGCGTGGGGGCTGGTGCTGCGGCGGCGGCTGCACGCGTCGGGCGACCGCCGCCTCAGCGAGCGGGCCCGCTCCCCGCGCGCGCCCGCGCTGCACCTCACGCAGCGCCTCACCCAGCACATGGACTCCGCGCACTGAGCGCCCCGCCCACCGCCACGCTGCACGGCACGGCACGGCCTGACGCGGGCACAGGCCTCGCTGCACCTGATGCGCCTCCCGGCCGTCCCGGCTCACCCCGACTCGTCCCGGATTGCCCCGGCACGCCTACGCATGTCCCGGCAAGCCACGGCACGCTCCAGCATGCTCCGGCACGCTCCGGCACGCTCCGGCGCGCTCCGGCACGCCGCGTCACACCCCGACTTGTCCTGGCACGCCCCTGGGCGCTCCTGGGCGCTCTGGCACTCCCTGGCACACCTCGACACTCTCCGGTACCTGTGTGCTCTGGCACGCCACCGCAAGCTCCAGCCTGCCCGGAGTCCGGCCTCACCCGGCCGCGGCCAGCACGGCCACGCCCCCTGAGTGTACGCGACTGTAGCGCACCCCACGAGACACTCGCACAATGGGAAGGGAATTGGTGTAGTACTTCAGCGCAAAACTTCATCTATAGCTCACTGTTTCTTCCAGGAAATTTCAACGTAGCTATAAAAACGTTTAAAAATGCGTAACTATGAATTGGAAACCACCGTTCTTGGTACACAGTATTATCGTGTTTAATAGAACTAGGTGCCGTGGTTTTGAATTAGAAGGATAATTTCTATAAGTATCTGTCATTAAAATTTCTTAGATTCCGAATGTCGGAATCTGCCATGCTAAAATAGTCCTGTTGCCACAGAAATACTGCATTCTTGCCTAAATTCAATTTTACTGGCGAACTTGTTTTCAGTTTCACATTAACTCTGGTAAAATGCAAATAATTTTTTAAATGTTCGGACATTGTTGTATCTAATACATAGCCTACCTTGTGTTTATTACACATAAACTTTTTTATTCAGAATCACACATTTAGCGAATACTTTCAAATATGTCTGTGCGTGTATCTATATACATTCTAATTGAATTACAAGGCACTATCTAACGTGATTTTCTTCTTTTAAACTTGTAAATTATTTTTTTCAGAAGTGACGCTTAACATGGATGTCATATAAAAGAAAATTTATTTCTCTAAACTCTTTTGGTAGTTTAAAATTTCTTAATATTTTTTCATTTTGTAAAACTTACAAACTTAATCCATTTTAGTGTCCCCGTTTTACTGAATGATATATTTTTAATAAAAGGACGTATTGGAAACTGTTAACAAGCCACCTCTCTATTTTATATTATACAACAATGTTCTGTAATGTTCCCTTCGGTTGCATCTGCATTTTCATTACATCTCATTCAAACACTGCCGACAGATATCAATTTGTAACCTTTCTGCATACTACACCAATCGTTTTTCATTTGTTGGAATGTACAAGAATATTTTTCACGAACATTTCTCCAAACACAACACCCATGTTCTGTTGAGTAAATGCCGAATACAAAAAAAAAAAAAGAAAGGCAGATCCTGATCGACAGATGAACAGTCAGACAGCTCAAGAACAACCTCCACAACGTTCTTTCGGAACGTGAATATATTCGTGTTTCGTGAATATATTTACACGAAGTGCCTTTGACCAAGTGACCCGCACCCGCCAGCAGCTTGGGCGATGGAGCACCGAGACCCCGTTAACACGTCACGTGGCCGAGTGTGGTCCCCCTGGAAGACGCTTCCTTACTCGTGCTGTTCCCGCCCGCGTCCCGTGGCGTTGCCTTCGCCATCGAGAGCCGTCAAGCATTTCGACGAGTGATTAGTGTATTTATTGAAAAGCGAGTTTATAAACGTTTCTCGTGAGACTGATTTCATAAACATTATTTCGTCCTTCGAAACAAGAACAGAGGTAAGGAATTTGTTAATTCCGGGACCATGTTAATATTTTGTTGGTGTTTTTCTAGGAAGGTTATGAAAATTAATGCAATTTTAAACATTATTGTAATATACCAGAGAGAGAACATGACAAAATATACAACTTTTTTAACATTTAAATTGTTTTTGTACTTTTCCCTAGATGGTCCAGCTCCTAAGTTTGGATTGATTGGTATTTCCAGAGACATGAACTGTTACGATAATTATTCCTGTAAGTGTAGTAAATGTTATATAGCGAGTCTTGGCACTCTTTCCCCTGTTTAGATGGTGATATCCTACGTACCACCGTCGAGGTGCAGTACCTGCGACACCGCCCTAGTCGGGAATAGCTCTAAGCTCCTCACATGTTTGGTAGTGTATTGTTTGTAAGTGTCTGTATGTGTGTGTGTTTGTGTGTGAGAGAGAGAGAGAGAGAGGGAGAGGGAGAGGGAGAGGGAGAGAGAGAGAGAGGGCGAGAGAGGGGGGTAGTATATAGGACAAGAAAGAGAAACGAAAGATTGTGCGCTTTTCGTGGCCTCCGGCATTCACCTGGTATTGTCCGGAGAAATCAGAAAATCCCACCGAAGGCTAAAGTGTGAGGGTGAATATGATGAATTGAAACTTGTATGAAGAGAGAGATGAACTGCATTACCTTGTGTCAATGCTTTAGGCCTTACCTTGAAAGTGAACATTTCACTTGCAGGAATAGAAACGTTTTGAATTGGGAATACAAATTATGTGTTTTTTTTACAAGTACTATAATTTTGTTAGTAGAGCAATATTAATAAAATTAAAGTATATATAATCACTAATTTATTATCCAACAATAATACAGCAAATCTCCTTATAGTACCACCCACACTTTGTGCCACAGAATGTAATAAAACGCACAGTCTTCCCTCGCGTATGTAAATGTTATAGATAATAACCGGCGTCTGTACTTCCATTTAGGAGCCCTCGCGTGTAGCACTCTGTGTAGTTTCTGTTGTTCACGTGTGGGCTAATCTTGTCCGCTGGCGGTGCTGGGAAGCGGCGTGTCGCTCGCTGCGGAAGCGGAGCGGAGCAGGGCGGGGGCGGGGGCGGGGGCGAGTGGGTGTGGTTGCGGGCTGTGCGTGCGGCCGCGACACACGCCCCCGCCCCCGCGGGCGAGGCGCGCCCTTGCGACGCGCGCCCGGAATACAGCACACGTGGGACGGCGCTGGCGGAGCGGGCGGAGGGCGCGGGCACGAGACGAAGCGGGGCGTGATATGCGGGTGTTTCGGAGAGAAGGTGGAGCGAGCGCCGGGGTGCACTTTTAGACCCGCAGACCGCGGGGGGGGGTCGTTGAGGCGAGCAGGGGTCGCGGGCGGGATGGGAGCGTGTGTCTCTACGTGTGGCGTCGCCGGGGCGGGGCACGAATGGCATTTGACGACGCCGGTGGAGAGCGTTTGCGCGGGGTGGGGATGTGGAGGCGGGCAGCGTTGCGCCAGGTGCGGTGTGAGCGTGACCCGGACTGGTGTTTGAGACGGCGTTGGGGGGAGGGGAGAGGGTTCTGCAGCGCTGCGTGTGGCATTGCGAGGCGGGGTGGAGCGGGGCGCGGACAGGGCAGGGAGTAAGGCTGACAGACGGAGCAGGGCGGGACGTTATATCCACGCCGGGTGTCGCTTGCAGCTGAAGTGACATCGAGTTCTCGACATCTCACCACGATGCAATAGAAATGACTATTTCACTCATGTCTGCCCGTGCCGTAAGTAACCAAGTTAGTAAGTCCGTGCTACAACAACTCATACTTTCTCAATGAAGCCCGGCAATGAGTATTTCTACCAAAAGTTCGCCGTTTTCCAGCAGACGATTACACAACATTCTATTCTTGCAAAGTACTTTCGCAAAAAGAGGTCGAGAAAGTGATAAAAGTTCACAAAACCAGTCAAAATATTGCATATAAATATACTTATAAAGCTTCCAAAATGTAACTACTATTTAAAAAGTGTAATAAATTAAATTCTGTAGGAAAGACAAGGGCGTTTTTATTTGAGGAACATGAAAAAATAAAATAATACTTATAAAAAGAATGAAAGAAAGAATCCATCAGGGTGCATAAACCGTCTTCAAATGCTGTTTATTTTGTTATAACACCACTAGATGGCATTGCAGCATAAGATCACGCTTCAGTTAAATGCAATTCCCAAATCATTTGGGCTTCATTATTGCTGGGCGTTGCCGTGTGATGGGGACGAGGTCGTGGAGGACAGGAGGAGCGGGCGACGCGGAATGGAGAGACGAGAGAGGAGATAAAAACTAGAAAGGGAAAAAAGGGATAAAGAGAGAGGGAATAAGGGAGACAGTGAGGGAATAAGAGAGAGAGAGAGAGAGAGAGAGGGAAAAGAAAACTAGAGAGGAAAAATGAAAAATTGAGAAGGAAACACAGTGAGGGAGGGAAGAGTGAGAGAGAGGGAATAGAAGGGAATGGAAAAAAGTCTGAGACCTTGTCTGTCCGCACAAGAACATGTTTTCTCTTTTCAAATTGAATTATATATTGAAGACCTCATTTAAAAGTGTTTTTTTTAAATAGCAGATTTACCTCAGCGGTAATGTTAGAGTGCTAAATTTGACAGTGCTAAATTGTGCTAAAAAGTGCTTAGAAACAGTGCTCAATTTGACAGAGACAAAGTGAACTGTCTTACATTTTATTTTGTGTGCATGTATCGACTACATAAGGAAGTCACCGAATAAGGTGCTCAGGAAATGTACCACTTTCTAACGCACTCAGCAACCGAAGTTCAAAAACTTTTAAATATAATATCTCCGAATGAAAAAAAAATATTACTAGTACTTGAAAAAGACGAGCAACTATAGTCGACGAGTTGCACTTATTACGTAATTAGGCCAAAAATTTTATTTTTCATTATAAAATGAATTTTAAAAAAGCGGGGGAGAGTCAATGGGTTCGTAATTTCAATGAAAAACAAACTTTTAGACTGTTACAACCAACAAATATTTGGAAATTTTAACAACCAAGAAAATGAAATACAGTCGATGTATACAGGTTACGACCGGTAATGAAAGATATCGATTGTCTTTCATTTTCTTATGAATTTTATTTTGTGATACAAAAACATTGTGTACGCACTACTCCCGTGAATATCTGTAAATTCATTTGTTTCATTTTTGAAGTCCCACACTGTTTTATTTATCAATAATTGTATTTTGATAGAAATCTCTTTACAATTATATGGACCAATTTTATTTGAATGAATTTTTAATGAAAGCCTCTAATTAATTAAATAATTTGCTATTCCCTAATAAAATAATGTTAATTAATGGAATAAAAAGATATTCAAACAATCGTGTTATTTAATACGTTCATAATACTTTGATATATTGTGTTTTGGTACGTAGAAACGTAAAATTTGAAATATTAGATCCGTAAAGTACTATTTCAGTTTAATTAACACACACACACACACACACACACACACACACACACACACACACACACACATATATATATATATATATATATATATATTATATATATATATATATTAGCTTACTTAATGATAGTTTAAGAAAATATAAAATAATGTTTTTTTTCAATAGGCTTAGAACGTATAAGAAAATTAGTTTTGGCCCATTCGTGGTCGATGCTGGAATGTCCAGGATTTATTCATTCTTCACCGGTGAGCTCTGTGCTTGTTAATTTTTGGATAATAATTTTATGAGGTTTTCTTGACCATCATTTTTGCTGCTGCAGTTAAAGCTTTTTTAGGCCACTGAGTAAATTATATTTTAAAAGTAGCTTATGCTATCGACGGTATAAAATTAGAAATGAATAGTTGACTTTAAAGAAATTTTAAAATTCGTTATTGTGAATCCTACATAGCAGACCAAAAGTAGTAATTTAAATTATTAAAAATGTGTGTGATTGTACTCTCTGTTATTACGTACAGCGCGGTGATAGGACAGTGGGACGAAATAAAAAAAGATGGGCGTGAAAAAGTGCACCTTTATTATAAAAACGACACGAGAAATCAAAAAGTGTGTAGAGACATTTCTTATCGAGTATTGTATTACCTTTCATTTAAAACCAAAATCTGAAACTTGGAATTAGGTATTAGAGAGAATTGTGTTTACGTTGCGTTACTCTCCGCCATCTCTATTAGCGGCTCCAGGTAAAACTGACCACAACCCTGCACCTTTCCATGTATTAAGGTGTCATAATTACGAATCAAAAGAGAAACTGCGTTCGAAATGTTTTGCATACTCGGCTTCGTCTTTTTCAACTACGGTCTGGGAGAGGTGGCTCAATAATTCAACTGATGTCAGTGCAGTGCCTCTGACAGGGAGGTCTTAGATTCAAGTCCCGACGGCAGGATTTTCGGCTTGTTTCATTGCTGCAAAAGGGCTGTTGATGCCTATTTTTATATATGTTTGCCTAAAACGTAATTTTAAAGAATTATTATTCTTTAGTCTATGGTCGGAAAGATGAAGCTTACAAAATATAGTCCAATGGTTAAATGGGTCGTGTGGTACAAAGATTTGTGTGTCTGTGTGTGGCGGGTGTAGTGAAGACGTTCCAGAAGAAGTGCGAATGAGAAATGTGGCTAAATTTATATTTGCTCCTATGAATCTGTTTCAGTGAAAATATCATTTTAAGCTTTCAAAATGATTTTAAGAGATAAAAAAAAACAGCCGCACTGTAGAAAAATTGGAGAAAAGATTGATTATATTATTAATTAGATCGCTGGTGAGGTAGATACCTTCTAATAATTAAATATGGAAAATTGAAGATGTCTGGTATCAAAAAATATGTTTTGCTTAATATAACAAAATATATTTTCGATACCAGACAATATCTTTAATTTACCGTATTTAACTGATTATATACTATACTGCTAAGTATAAAGGTAATAAAATATTCTTCTTCTAGTCTCTATCACATATATAAAAATACGTGACTTTCTTGAATAATAAAAAGTGCATAATTTAATCCTTTTGGGATCATTTTTAGATGCCAGAAACATGTTTTATATCTAATTGTTTTTGCCTGGTTTAGTCATTTTACAACCTATTTTAAGTGCCTGAAACATCACTTTTCATGCCTAATAGTGCCTAATTTCGTAATTTTGTTACCTATTTTTGGTGTCTAAATCATTACTTTTTTATGTCTAAAATTCCGAGGTTAGTCATAACTAAACCGTTTTCGAATAAGCAAATGTGTTCTTTCCTCTTCAATTCTGTATACAACACGTATTGGGATATATCTTGAGTTAAAACTCAATAATGAATCAAAATGTACATGCTAAAAACAAATATTTCGTTCCTTTATTGAGTCTTCATTGGGGAAATAATTCCTACGTCTACTAATTTTTTTGACCAATTTTTTTTTTAATTTTAGATTTTAAAATTTTTGAATTTTGGAAAGTCGACGGAAAGTGTTGTGAAAATTGCTATCATTTTTGAAAATTGACTGGTGACGAAGGAAATACACAATTATGCAATGCAGAAAAAGAACTGTGTTGCTTGTTTGTGTTGCAATACTATTAAATTGAAATATAGCGCGCAAGTTTCAAAATGGCGAATCTGAAATGAAGGTAAAAGTAAAGTGAAAAGTAGTCCTTGTCTAATTTCAGAAAAATTAAGTAAAACCTATATGGTGTTGGGGTCTGTAAATATAAATATTTTGCCACAAACTTAGTATTCCAAGAAGAATATTGAATACTGCTTCAAGGCAAATGTGAATAAGTATATTAAATATTCATGAAATTAGAAATAAAAAGTGATCATTTGTGTGTTTTCAGGTAATCAAATGCAAGCATAAGTTAAGAGTTTGATGATATTTTGAATAGTAATTTCTTCTTTCAGGATATTCCCCCTCTGTTAATCGATTGTTTCCATATCATCCTCTCAGGTTACTCTCGGTCTTCCTCTTTCTTTTTTCATTTGCATCTTAACTTCATCACTTCCTTCGCCTACTTCTCTCCTTCATTTCTATTATAATAACGTATTGTAGTTTTTTAATTCAATTATATTTTCAAGTGATCTTTTTCATCAAATGATTCATTTTAAAATAGAGTTAAGTTTCCTAAAGTTAATACATTTCATTCCAGTAGTTCACACATCTAGCATTAAAACAAAATAACTGTAATGTTTAAAACGCCATTTTGAGTAGATACATTTCCTTGGCATATTCCAATATAATAATCTCCCAAGCCATCAAGAATTGCCGTGCAGTACCCTTGAAACCTTACTCGGATAAGGCCACGTTATAGTTGTCGCATTTTCCCCGTTTCCCTTTCATTCTGAATCACTGTGTGGCTGGGCGTCACGTCACGCCGGGCCCGCCCCACCGCCGCCGCCGCTGCCGCCGCCGCCGCCGCC